TGAAAAATAATATTATTTGCAATGGCACCAAAATCAAAGCGTTTTAGAACTCAAGCTTATGACATAGGGAACTTTAAACAATATGCATCTTACTTTAGAATATATGAAGATGAAGCAGTAAAGATAAACATTTGTAAGACAAACAACGTATTAAATATATTTCTTAAATATTTTGATGTTCAAATAGATCCTAATTTTGAACATTTAAAGTTGGAAGGATTTGAGTATGACCAGGTACTAATATTTGTACTGAGCAGGTACAAGAATCTAAGTGATAGTCAAAGAAGGTTTCTAATGAAGTTGAAGCATATACTAAGAAATAGCATATCTGAAAGTCCAGATTTCAAGTTTTAACCATATATTTAAGCTTTAGTAGACACCTTGCTTCAAGAATGTAAGTTTGATGTTTCTTTGCATTTAAAAATAGTACCATCAAGACTTAAGATGACAATTATACATAAAGTATTTACTACTTTCAGTGATAGAGAAGGAAAAAAAGATAAACAATCAGTGTAGATTTTGCAAGAAAGTAAACACAAGCATGATAAAAGATATAAGAATGGAAAAATACAACTTGTGAGTGCTCTTATTGCAGCATGTCAGTAGAATTATAGCACTTTTTAAAATGATATACTTCCTTAAGTAATGTATGGTATTAATGTCAAAGATGATGAAGTGTTTATTATACGTATTGTATTTACTAGAGAATATATATTGTCTTTGTTTGGAGGACTTCCTGAACAAAAATTTGAAGTAAAGAAATATCTAAAGAAAATGGGATTGAAATTATCATCTTTTAAGTCAAGAGGTGAAATACTTTCTTTGATGACCAAGCTGAGAACACATGCTTTATCTATTGATACTAACATATGACATTCAACATAGCTGATACTTCAAACATGTCTTTGGTGATTTAGCTTAAGAGTTGTGTGTAAGATCTACTAAAGGTGTACTATTTGATATAAAAGGGCATATATGTTACTATAAGTATATTTTCTTGTGAAGATTTGATATTGAACTCAGAATGTATTGCTTAATAGTTAATTTAGGAATATGTGACATCTTGCTTGCTTACCCTTCTAAGCTTTGTATTCTATGTAGTGCTATTGTATTGGAGGTAGAAAAACGACTGCTTTTGCAATACTTTAGTTACATATGAATACTGGTAGTACCCATCTGTACTAGACGTTAATATATTATTCATTTCACCTTTTGCTCAATGAGACCAGTGATACAATCTATTTTACACTTTGAATTAGGGTGTGACAATAAGTATTGAAGTGTAAGCAAGTGTAGTGAACACTCTATCTCTCAGATTAGTCTTTCTGTATGTATTAACTTTGAACAGGACTATACATATGGAGTTTTACTCTACCACTATCACGAGTCTTGTATTCTGAAGAGAAAAATATTTTTGTATACATAACATCATAAGAATATTTTTTCTTATCATTTGTACTGGAGACGTTCTCAAAATCTGATTGATAATGTTTGTGATTTGTTATTTTTACTAGTAAATCATATTGAGATTTGTACGCATCGTTACGTTTACGATACTATACAGGCTCGGCACTGTTACTCACAGAAAAAACTATCTCCTTCAATGAGATGCTTTATAGGAACATTACACTTTCAACTTTGGTTTGATTGTTGTAATGGGATTGTGCTCTTCGACTGTGACACAGTTCCATAGTTGTGGAGATCACTTTTTATCAGGAAGATGAGCACATTCTTATCTATTTAGATTTTTGTTTGGGTAACCTGGTTTGGTCGATGTGATCGTGAATTGTTGACTATTCCTTCAGAAAAATGCCATTGCCTTGCACTGAACAATATATTGCACAAAAATTCCTGTTGGCTTCCCTGCTAGAGACTGCCCTCTCCACAGTCCTCCCTTGGAATCGAAGAATACCTTCATTGATGCTGACATTGTTCCATATCGAGTTGGAATTCCGAACAAAAATGCATCAGCTTCTGGTAACTGTGCAGCTGTGATGACAAGGATCGATTCATCCTTGGGTGGAGCATTCACATTTGTCAAAACATCAGCTGGAAGCGTGCTAAGCTGGAGTGGTACAAGCCCAGCCATCGCTCTACCTACGACGACTTCAAGCTTAATCTAGTGAGCAAGTTCTGGTTATCCAATTTAATGTACTCTACCACAGTTGCCTCCGAATCACCTCGCATTAATGTGTCCAGACACGCAAAATAGTGCTTCAAACTACGAGGCAGTCTCAGAAGGCCATCTGGTCGTGCTTCATGTAGTTGGCATTGTACAAGGGAATTTGAAGACCATAAGCCTTGTGGTAATCGGGATAGAGAGGCGTGTGAGATTGGCTCAGTCTGTACTAAAGAGGGGAAATCCATGGCAGTTCCATACGTGGAGTAAGGCGAGGGATTCTTCCTTCTTCTCCTCTCTCTTCTCCTCCACTTCCACCTTCTTCTCCGTCGCGTCTTCCTTCTTTTCCTCTGCCTTGACCTTTTTCTTCTTTTCTTCAGCTTTAGGGTCTTCCTTTTTCTCGTCTTCCCTCAGCAAAGATGATATGCATGACCATCTTATGAGCAGACCACGAATGTAGCACGTGAACAACTTAATCAATGAACACCTGAAATTGAAGCCTTTACAGAATGTTCGTCACTTGCATTCTTAGTGAAAGTTTACACAAATTTAGTGTAATAATTGCAACTTTGTAATAATTGCAAACTTCGTAATAATTTGCATTCTCACTGAAAGCTAGTGAAAGGGCAAATTTGCAATTGTTACAAAGTTGAGCCGCATGTGTGATATTATCAAAACTTGAGGGGTATTCTTCATATTTTGAGAAAGTTCAGGGACATGTGTGATATTTGCCCTATATTTTTTAGTGTTTTTTTATTCCATTCAAAAATAAATTCAATATTTAGAGAGAGAACCATGATGAAATGGTTGTGGTGGAAGTAAGAAAAAGATGTTTTTGACTAAATGTTTTATGGAGTTGTGATGGCTACAACAAAAAATCTGGTGCATATCCTCTATTTATATATGTATATAGCAATATCTTATATATATATATATATATATATATATATTCTTTGTTTGGTTGTTTGTTTGTGGTGCTTTTTTTGTTTTTGATGTTTTTCCTTCACTAGAAATGATGTTTATGCCTGGCTTCAAATAAATCCACTCTTGCCTTTGGTGCTTTGCTCTAACTTCTTTATTGCAAGAATATAAATTGTGTTCTTACACTTTAGTGGCACTAACAAGCACTAGAGCATAAGCAACACACTATTGCTTGTTAATGGCATAACTGTCATTGAACCCAGAGTCCACAATTTTCAACCTAAACATATTAATCTTGATTAGTTTAAATTGTTCAATTATTTATTTATTTTGTCACATTTAATCTAAAATTTGAATTAATCAACCTGGAGAAAAAGATAATTATATATATATATATATATATATGTATTCTTCAGTTTAATAGAATAAATCTTTTACTGGAAATTATGCAATGCCATTGCTTTAATCTTAATTTGCATACATCAAAATTATTTTTTTAAGGGTTTAAAAAATGTAACTAGAAGTTAAAGATAATTAATACAATTTGTTTCAAGGTACTTCCAAAAATACATTTTACTTTATTATACATAAAATAAACAATACCCATAAATTTATAAAATGATGTTGAAGATGTTAAGCTTATATAGTTAGTATTGTAGTTTTTGCCCCAAATTCTTTAAAACTTGAGCAAAGTTCATCTGGTACCCATCTATACCAAAACCAACATGATTTTTGTCATGCATATTAAACCGATTAATAACTCTGACTATCTTATTTATATCGGAGAATTGTTTTTATATTTTTGAAGCCTCTTAAGTGGCTCTGTTGTATTCTGGAGTTAATTGTCTTCTTGTGGTATTTTTATGTTGGACTATACCAAGATGTAGTCACTATTCTCACATGATTCTTTTTAAAACTCCCCGTTTTTTTTTTTTTTTTTTTTTTTTTTTTTAAATATTACTGTAAAATAAAAATTTTATATATATATTTTGTTTTGTTTTGTTTTGTTTTGTTTTTGTTTTTGTTTTTCTTTTTCATGTAGTCTTAGAAAAAAAAAAACACCTTTAGATCACTAACAAGGTAGAGGATAATATATATATATATATATATATATATGTATTTCCATTTTAATTTTTAAAAATTAATTAAAGAAATATTATAATGATATATTTATTAGTTAAAACATTATTAATATTTTTTACATGTTTATTTTTATAGTGATAAAATTAAACTTATATTTATATTTATGCACACAGACTTTCAAAGAAATGTTTTTTACCATTAGATATTGTAAAACAATTACTTGTAATTTTTTACGCTTTTTCTACAAATAAATTATTCTTTGGCATTGTTAAATGAAAGATGTATATGCTAACATAACTTGCATAATACAATATCAATATCTAAAAGTATTAATTATTATTTTTCAATTTTTAGGTTTTTTTCAAAGTATATTTAAACAACCTATTAAAAAAAGTGCACAAAAGTTGATTTTTATATATTTATAAGCCAATAAAATAAATGTATATACACAAGAAATTCCCTCTTAAATAGACATCTCATAGGACATTTATCTATTAGAACCTTTGAGATTCCATTATTTCTTGAAGTCTATTTTTTTATTTATTTTGTATTCATTCCATATCCAACTAGAATATAGGGGTTGGAATTTATAGATTATAATTAGAATTTACGAATGAAGAACTACGAATCATAAATAAGCTTTAAGATTAGATTTTAAAATTAGGATTATATAATCAATGAATTAAGATTTAGAATATAATTAATTGCATGCACAACTAGTGAAGCTGCTACCCTATAGAAACATCTGTAGACTCTAGGAACATTTCATTCATTCATTCATTCATTCACATCCATCCATCAGAATTGTGGATGAAACCCTACTTTCGTGTTTTCCATCGACGCTTTGTGCGAACTCCTACCGAGTATCGATCAGATTTGAAATTTGATTTAAGGCGCTGTAATAAAATCAGGAGCGGTTGTGTGAGCTTCTGAAATATCGGAGCCCGATGAAATGGCGCCGTGATCCGTGAGCTTGGAGATTTCAAAGCGGTTGCGGCGATGGTCGAGGTCGTTTACACTTGTTGGAGCCTTTGTTCAGTTGAATTGCTCTTTTTCCTCTTCTTGGCTGCTGGGGTCCATGATGGAGAATATTGGAAATTGTTCCCCGCTTTGTAATTGAGGATATGAAACTAATAAAAGGCTCATGCGAGGTAAGGTGGGGCTTTGTCGTTGCATCATTGCATGATTCACTTCGATTCTCCTACAGTGAGGTTTCATATTCTTAATAATGAACAGTCGATTGAATGATGTAGTTGTGATTAGGGGAAATAATTGCGGTGTAATGGATCGATGAGAGGTTTCCAAGTGTGCTTAATCCTCCCACTAGAAGTGGAATTATGGAGTCCGATGCCAAGAAGTTACCTCTTTATATATCTGGTATTCCAAGTGCTTGGAGTGTTTTCCTGGAGAAAGGATTCCGACATGACGACAGGAGAGCAACGTTCATCAAGGGTGTTTTTCTGGACATTTTTCAAACAAGTGCTGTCAACCCGATACTTTCGCCGATGGGACAGCTGTCTGAATCTTGTGATTGTGAGGCCTTAGAAACCAATGTTTTGAACAAAAGATTGACAGGAGACAAAGTCGTACTTCTGCTCAAGAACTTCGTGTAATGAGCTCATTTGAGGAGGAGAATAGTAACCAAATTTTCAGGTGTTGATTGTGATATAAAAGCCGCTTTCAAAGCTGTTCTTCTAAAGATTGGCATCGTATGTTAACCTGGCTCTGACAAATTCTGCTCTTCTTAAGCAAAGCTCTTCTATGGATTGACATCGCATGTTAACCTGGCTCTTTGGTGCTAATCTTTGCTTAAGAAGAGAAGAATATTTAGTTAGAAACTCAAGGCCGCGCCAGGCACACAAAGGCAAATCAGATGTGAGCACGTATAATTCTAAACCAGTGTATGCGTGGATCCGCACCTAGTGTCCTTGTGCTTACTCGAGTTTTTTAACCGTCAAGATTAGAGGTAATTAGAACTAGTATCAGGCACAGTTGAGTGCTAAGGTTGTGTTCGGAAGTTGCCTAGTCAAAAACGACGCTTGGGATTGCTCTGAAAGCTTAGAAGTACAAGGTAACGGAAACTTCATTAATTTAGACTGTACATCAGAAATTATTCTGACTGCTATTCAACGAAGCTTATATATATATATATTTTTTTTTCTCTCATTAGCCAGCGGCATTGGTATTGTATCGTTTATGTTATCCTGCTTAGACAAGTAGATGATAGGTTTCGAGGAGCTCATCGTTGAACTGCAGCCATTTGGAGCCTTTTCATCAACTAAAACTCTTGAAAGAATCATGTATAAGGAATGTGTTTCACATGTGAATGCATTGTGATTTGAAATTACCAAATTTGCATGGTCTTCACTGAAAACGGGGATTGCTGTGACAACTTTAGATTTATTCTGACGTGTAAGTTTTTTCATGTTCTCTAAAGTCATCTCAAGGATGAATTATGATGTATGTCCTTCGAAGTAGTGCAGCGTAAGTTAATTCTTGCTAATGGTGCAATAAAAACTTTGAGTGGCCGTTATTGTGTCTCTTGAGAATCAAGTTTCTCCTTCATTTCAACACAAGATCTCAGTGACAGGGAGGCTAATATCAAAGCGAGGAACTTTACCAATGTCAAGCGTTCAGCGGCCGCTCCTCAGAGAATGTCCCAAGTGTTAGTAAGTTATTCCTCGTCAAGTTGAAGATGGAAAGTATTCGCCACTCACTGGCCTTGGTAGCAGTTGCTTTAGACCTTCACTCCTGGACGATCTTTTTATGATGCTGCATGTTCTTTGCATCCTATTTAAATAACTTTATTTTAAAAATCTGTTTCATTACGGACCTTGGCGTGAAGGTTCAGTCTTCCGAATAGAAATACAGAATTTGAAACTGGCACTGAGAAGTCAGTAAGCTTGATTTAACGATTACACTTCAGATTTCGTGAAAGGCTGTTCTTAGGCCATGAGCTTAGTGGCACTGACACCTGCAGGCAACAGTAGCTCAAAAAATGGATAAGGTAGCATTGATGTGATAACACGACGTTTGCTTTGATAGACTCTCCAATGACTTAGACAGACTCTCCGTGTCGAACATTTCCGCCGCTGACGTTCAGGTTGCAACATCCCTTGGCGTGGTTTCGTTTCTCAGCGACTCGCCTTAAAGTCGGTGAAAGATGAGGTGAATTCACCACATTGCATGATGTGTTGGACGATTTGGTGCTTTCAATTTAATCGTAGGCTTCCACCGTAGCAGTCTGGCTCAGTCCGCTGACAAGGAGGCAGAGCTTCCTCCGGGAATCCTACAATTCGATCAATATCGCATTAATGTCGTTGGCTCTTATTTGGTCCCCAATCGATTCTCTCGACCACTTGGCAAAAAGGATACAAAAATATTTCACCGTGAGTGGCATCTAATGGATTATTCTTAGTATTGCATCAATAGCCTGAGCAGCCAGACTTGTCTTTGCTTTTTCCAACAAAATTTCCCCATTTTTCCCCGATGATTTGTCTCTCCATCTTCCGAGGTTGTGGCAGAGAATAGCAAGGGGTTTGTTTAGAGGACGATTAGCTTACCAGAATTATTGGTATCTTACCTCTATTTATTTATTTATTTATTTGGAGGGAGGGGGGTAGTTTGGTTTTATTCAATTCGACTACTCCCGCTTGCCTGTCCTCAGAATGCAACAAGTGTAAACAAATAGTGCATGCATCATATAGATATATTAAAAAGATATAAAGATTGGACATATTTTTTCCAAAAGAACTTGATTGCCAAACATGGTTTGATTGCCAAACATACTGGGCCAAAAACAATGAGTTTTTTACAATTTATTTTAACATTTATTGCTGATGAGAAAAATAAAACTGTTATGTAAGATGGATCACAAAACCTCAAGTAAAATAAAAAAATAATTATATAGAATATTTGATAATATTATAAAAGATTATATTATTTAAAAATTTCATTTTTTTTCATTTAAAATATTCAAAATAAGATTATAAAAGAAACATATAGAAAACATGTTGCTCTTAGAAGTTCTTCTACATGACCAAGTTGCCATGGTGTAAATAGAAGATAAAGAGAAGGAATAATATGGTCTTATTAATATAAATTTTGGAGCAACACAATTTCAAAGATATAAATCATAAATCAACCAAAGAATCAATATATTCTTGTGTTGCTTAAAAAGAATAAATATTTACTTAAAAATAATACTAGTATTGAAACTAATATAGCTATTGCCAAAGACAAGAAGACTAAAAACTCTTGAAACAATGCCAAGAACAAAAAATATATTGAAGAGAGTGAAGAAGACCTCACCTTTGCCTCCATGTGCACTATTTGGTTAGTGAACTACATGCGATGTTTTATAAATCATTTGATATGTGTCTAATTTGTGGGAGACATGTCTAACTTGTAAGACAAGTTTTTAATATGTATACTACATGGCTAATTTGTACCACATGGCCAACTTGTACTACAAATGGCCAATATGCACATCATGTGACCAACTTATAAAATAAGTTGTGAATATGTATGACACATGACTAACTTGTTGGCTAAGTTTTCAACCTATTAATCATCTACAAACTCTTTTAAAATCAAATTTGTATCTACAAAGATTTTAAAAAGCTTCTTTATAAGATATCATCAAATTTATATATTTTTACTTACTTTAATTAATTAATTAATTTTTTATCTTAGTAGTTACTAGTGTTAATATATATGTCCATGATATTACTTCTTTTTTTAAGTATAAGTTCTACAAAGAGAAGTAGTGACATATTGATAAAGTTTGAAATGCAACAAATTATATTTTTAACATATTCTAATCTTTATTCTCATTAAAGATATTTGATAGGTCTTCTCAACTATCAATAGTACTACATATCAATGTAAGAAGTCCACCTTATTATTTAATCATTGTTTAGGTCTTCATAACTTCTCTAAATAAAATATTAAAAATACCATAAAGAGTGACTTCTACCTTTAATAATATTCACAAATATTAAAAGTCTCTTCTAAGGTAGTAATATCAAAATTATTATATCTCTTTATCTATTCAAAAAAAATATCTTATTTGTTAAGATCTTCATTTCTATTACATTCTCTTGAAAGTTGTGACAATTTTAAAGGCTTTGCTTGTAACTTAACAAACAATAGTTTTTGAGTTGAATTTTTTAGTTAGTAATCCTCTATCCTCAAAATGCTACAAATATAAAAAAAACCACAAATAAATATAGAAGATAGAATATGATTTTTATTGAGGTTACTTTGCTTTATAGTAAAGAATTTTTTAACTCTTCATATTGGTTTTTATAGTTGTTATTGATGAAAAATATCAATCTTTTTTGTTGTACTTGTAAGATTTTTAGATGGATTCTATATGCGTTTATCAATATCATATTTGCACCAAAATATAAGATATTCCAACCTATTTTGATATTACTTAAAAATTTAAAATTTCTTCTATCTCAAATTTTTGATGATTGTTTACTTCTTTAGAAAGATGTGGCATTTGTCTTCTTCTTTATATACATTGTCTTATATAATTTAAAAAGAAATACATAAAAAAAAAGATGGATCTTGTTAGATTCTAATAGAAGTAATTGATATGCAATTAAATTGATTTATTTACAAATAAAAAAATCTAAATCTATAGTAATCCAACTTATTATAATAGCAAATAATCTTTATATTATGGTAGAATAACCATACCTTGTCGCCAATATGAAATTGAGGTTGCTTATTACAATAAACAACTACATTGATTTTTTGTTGTTTTTGAGGTTCTTTTAATTGTGCCTTCATTGTCGTATATAGCTTTAATAAATAACTTGTCAAATCTTTTGCTACAAGATTATCAACTTTTGAAAAGTTAAAAATATTAAATGATGGATGATAATCATAATTAACATAAAAAAATGATTTTTGAGTAGAAGAATGTATTGTATTATTATAAAAAACTTTGCCAATAACAAAATAATTATCCTATTTTTTTTGATGATAATTGATGGTATATTTTAAATATTGCTTCAATACTTAATTTATATGATATATTTGTCCATTAGTTTAAAGATAGAAGATTAAAGATAGTTTATGTCTATTCTTAATATCTTAAAAAATATTCTCCAAAATCTAAAAACAAATAAAGTCTCTCTATTTAATGTAATATTTTTTTAATAATCAATGATAATAATAAATTTTATCAAAAAAGAATTTAGTTGTTTCTTCACTTGTAATAGTTTTTTTATATACTACAATATTTACCATCTTAATGAAATAATCTATAATTACAAATATAGAAGCCTAAGAGCTTGAAATTAGAAGATTTGTGATAAAGTCTATAGAAACAAATGATCATGTTTCTTCTAATATAAGTAGTGGTTAGAAAAATCTATAAAATTAATGATGAAGAATTTTAAATGTTAAATAAGTATTACATGATTATACAAAGTATTTAATTACTTTGAATATTTGAAGCCACTAAAAATTTCTTGATATTAACTTCAAAGTCATCTTATATCTAAAATTTCTTGTAGTTGAAAAATTGTCACAAGCTTGCAAAGCTTGTAATTTTGCTTTATCTTTTGAAACATAAAATTACTTTCAAAATAGAAAAGATTATCTTTCAATTCAAACATAGAAGTATAATAAG